GGCGCGGTCCCCGACGGGCGTGCTGCTCCTCTGTTCCCTTTGCCCGCCGTTCGATCTCGACTTGGCAGCTCTGCGGAGAGGGACCCGCCTGGGACGAACCGCTGCTGGCGGTGTCTGTCTGGTGGTCTCCTGCCCTCCCTCCTGACTCAGAGCCTGAAACGCTCCCTGGGGCGTCTGGGTGCTCCTGGCCGGGACAGGATCCAGCTCCCTGGAACGATCATTCTCTTCCAGCCGGGCAATTAACTGGGCCTTGGTGAATTTCCCCGTGGGCAGGCCCCTCTCCTTGCATCACCCCACCCCATCTCCCCGCCATCCCCTGGGGCACTCGCAGGCCGATGCAGCGCCACGACTCCCAGGGAGAACGCTTCAGTGGACCAGGTTAGATCGCAGACCCCTCTGCCTCCTGGGATCACGTCCCATGATCCGCTGGGGAACACTCCTCCTCAGAGACCCCACTCCGCTTCCCGAAACCGCTTCACGGCCTCCAGCGCCGGGCTCGTGCAAGCCCCGTCCCTTGCTGCTGGGTGTCCCAGCCTTGGGGTGCAGTCCATCCCACCGCTGCCACCACTGTCACGGAGTGTGGGGAGTCCTCAGGCCCTGCCCCCCGTCTGCAGACACGACTCTCAGCCGGCAGGTAGAACAGAAGGGTTATTGGTTCACAGGGTGAGTTCAAAACTCAGTGGGCGCAGGAGTCAATATAATCCCTGCTACGTCACACCCTGTAGAGGGACCTGGGGGCTGCGCTGTGTTGAGGAGGGGGGGCAGGGCGACTGGATGGGGGCAGATGGATTTGGGGACCTGGGGAGTGACGGTATGGGTTTGGAGTAGGCTGTGTCATGGGCTGGGACATGGAGGTGAGACAGGCTGTGGGTGGCTTGGAGGCATGGGGCGGGGTGTGTGTTGCAGGCAGTACAGTTAAGTGTTGGGGATGTGGGAGCAGCGATGTGGCAGAGGGATTTGGAGGAGTCGGGGGGTGGTGCACATTGGTGCATTGTGGGCAGAGCAGTGGGGAGCTGTGTTCTGGGAACAC